ATTAGACATTTTTATGCCTTACTATACTATGACGATTTTATGACATTTTTTCCCTTACTATATATGACTTTTTTACCTTACTATAGGCTATTAGACATTTTTATGCCTTACTATACTATGACGATTTTATGACATTTTTTCCCTTACTATATATGACTTTTTTACCTTACTATAGGCTATTAGACATTTTTATGCCTTACTATACTATGACGATTTTATGACATTTTTTCCCTTACTATATATGACTTTTTTACCTTACTATAGGCTATTAGACATTTTTATGCCTTACTATACTATGACGTTTTATGACTTTTTATGCCTTACTATACTATGACGTTTTTATGACATTTTATGCCATACTATACTATGACGTTTTTATGCCGTTATATGCCTTACTATACTATGACGTTTTATGACTTTTTATGCCTTACTATACTATGACGTTTTTGGGACATTTTTTACCTTACTATAGGCTATTAGATATTTATATGCCTTGCTATACTATGACGTTTTTATGACTTTTTATGCCTTGCTATACTATGACTATTTATGTCTTACTATACTATGCCATTTTTATGACTTTTTATGCCTTACTATACTATGACGTTTTTATCACCTTTTATGCATTACTATACCATCACGTTTTTATGCCATTTTATGCCTTACTATACTTTCACTTTTTATGCCTTACTATACCATCACGTTTTTATGCCATTTTATGCCTTACTATACTATGACGTTTTTATGCCATTTTATGTCTTACTATACTATGACATTTTTACCTTACTATACCATGACTTTTCATGCCTTAATATACTATGTCGTTTTTATGACTTTTTATGCCTTACTATACTATGAAGTTTTTATGCCTTACTATACTATGACATTTTTATGACTTTTTATGCCTTACTATACTATGACTATTTATGCCTTACTATTTTATGACGTTTTTATGACTTTTTATGCCTTGCTATACTATGACTATTTATGCCTTACTATACTATGACATTTTTATGACTTTTTATGCCTTACTATACTATGACTATTTATGCCTTACTATTTTATGACGTTTTTATGACTTTTTATGCCTTACTTTACTATGACGTTTTAATGACTATTTATGCCTCACTATACTATGACATTTTTATGCCCTACTTTACTATGACGTTTTTATGACATTTTATGCCATACTATACTACGACGTTTTTATGACTTTTTATGCCTTACTATACTATGACGTTTTTATGACTTTTTATGCCTTACTATACTATGACGTTTTTATGACATTTTTTACCTTACTATAGGCTATTAGACATTTATATGCCTTGCTATACTATGACGTTTTTATGACGTTTTATGCCTTTCTATACTATGACGTTTTTATGACTATTTATGCCTTACTATACTATGACGTTTTTATGACTTTTTATGCCTTATACTATGACGTTTTTATGACTTTTTATGCCTTACTATGCTGATGTTTTTATGACTTTTTATCTCTTACTATACTATGATTATTTATGCCTTATTATACTATGTCATTTTTATGACTTTTTATGCCTTACTATACTATGACGTTTTTATCACCTTTTATTCCTTACTATACTTTGACATTTTATGCCTTACTATACCATCACGTTTTTATGCCATTTTATGCCTTACTACACTATGATGTTATGACTTTTTATGCCTTACTATACTATGACGTTTTTATGACATTTTTTACCTTACTATAGGCTATTAGACATTTTTATGCCTTACTATACTATGAGGTTTTTATGAAATTTCATGCCTTACTATACTATGACGTTTTTATGCCATTTTATGCCTTACTACACTATGATGTTATGACTTTTTATGCCTTACTATACTATGACTTTTTATGCCTTAATATACTATGTCGTTTTTATGACTTTTTATGCCTTACTATACTATGACGTTTTTATGACTTTTTATGCCTTACTATACTATGTCGTTTTTATGACTTTTTATGCCTTAGTTTACTATGACGTTTTTATGCCTTTTTATGCCTTACTTTACTATGACGTTTTTATGCCATTTTATGCCTTGCTATACTATGACGTTTTTATGACATTTTTTACCTTACTATAGGCTATTAGACATTTATATGCCTTGCTATACTATGACGTTTTTATGAATTTTTATGCCTTACTATACTATGACGTTTTTATGACTTTTTATGCCTTACTTTACTATGACTTTTTATGTCTTACTATACTGACGTTTTTATGACTTTTTATGCCTTACTATACTATGACATTTTTATCACCTTTTATTCCATACTATACTTTGACTTTTTATGCCTTACTATACCATGACGTTTTTATGAAATTTTATGCCTTACTATACTGACGTTTTTATGCCATTTTTCTATTTTACTGTGACGTTTTATGCCTTACTATACTATGATGTTTTCTGATCTCTTTTACCTTATTATACTATAATGCTTTTGTGACATTTCATGCCTTACTATACTGTGACATTTTTATGTTTCTTACTTTACTATAACATGACCTTTTTATGACTTTTATAATTAACTATACTATGACATTTTATAATTCCTTAATATACTATGACATTTTTAAGCTTTACTATAGTATGATTTTTTTTACATGCCTTACTATAGTATGAGTATGACTTTGTGCTGGGGCGGCACGGTGGTGCGCCGATCACTTGGGCGGAAAAACAATACATAGAATACTACGTGCTCTTAATTTGAAAAGGCGTTGTCAGCAGGTGATAGCGTGTTTTCTGAAAGTGGCCGAGTGATACAAGTCGATTTTGGTTCAGTCTGGCGGAAAGTTTGTTTCAAAACTCTGAGTGTGTAAAATTCAAATCCACAAATGCTTTTTTGTAGCACAAATCGAAAATTGATTAACAAATGTCTGTTTGAAAGTTGATTATGTTAGGAAGATATTCACAAATACTTTCCATTAATTTGTAAATTAATGGAATGTATTCATAGATAATTTTTTATTTGTGGAATTTGTTTGTGAATTTTGCATATGTGGAAGTGACCATTATTTAGCAAAAGTTACATACTGTAGTCTCACTTGTGTGACAAAATCCTGATTATCCAGGTTATGTTTATTTCATTACCGTAATATTAATACTATTGCTGCTGTATGGATATACAAGCAGCATAATGTTGTAGCTGTTCAAGGTTATATACATTTAAATACTTTTTACAATATATCCTACATAAATAGATGATTGCAAGTTTCATATGTAAACTCTTAATTAGTAACTATAGATGTCAAATAAATATAGTGGAGTAAAATGTACACCTGCTTCCCCTGACATGCAGCTAAGTAAAAATATATACTTCAAGTACAAGTATCTCAAATTCACAACAAATAAAAATCAAAAGAAGCATGGAAAGCAAACAAAACCTCATGGTGTTCCCTCCTGACTCTTCTAAGGTGCATCATAACTGGCATGGCATCTGGAAGTATCGTGCTCTTCTACAATGACTTCAACAGGTGGCACCATGAGTACCAGACAAGGTACTGAACTGACAACAGCAACAAAACCTGACTGACAAAGTTGGACACGGATGAAGAACTCTTATCAAAGGCACTATTCTGTCTATCCTGATATCCTGAATGTATCTCACAGGAAAAAAAGAAATCTGTCCTGTTATAGTAAAAGAATCAAACTATTTTTAAAAAGGGGCATTGCTATATTTTGTAGATCAGATAGAAAATTTTCATATAAATCATAGGGTGGGGGTTATGTTACTGTACGGTTAAAAACAAATCTATTTTTAGCTGTAAGAGTCTATTTTCATCTCCTCCAGAAAAGAAAAGAGGGATTTATGGGGAGCTAGTGAAAACCTTTTCTCTTGACTTAAAAATCCAAATATTTGTGTACTTTAGGGTGAGTGATTTTTTTTTTTTTTTTTCTCTGTAGGTGTGTATGTGGGGAATAATTATAAAGCTATCATTCAATTTTAACATTTTGCCATTTTGGCAACAAAGCCGTTAGATATATGTTTGAATAAATAATAAATGTATTGGACAGAAGGATAAATGAAGAGGGAATATACATATATATAAATGTCTATATATATATACTGTTTAAATGTAGTCTTTCATATTTAAAATTTCCATTCCCTCTGTACCTCTGTGCTTGCTAAGCGATTGCGTTTCTGTGCATGGCTCACTGCTCATATAAAACACATCAGCGCAGATTTTCGCGTTATCATTTAATACTTTAAACATCAAAAACACAAAACTTCTCTGCATCAGTGATGTTGAAAATGAGCTTTACATAGAGGATGTCAGGAAAACTATGTTGAGGATTAAGCTTCATTCATTTACATTTCTCCTAAATGACTGAATAAACAAACTGAATCATTTTTTTCAAAATTGATTAATATCTGTGATGGAAAGAGTGAGGGTATGAGATCAAAATTTTTAGTACTTCATTAAATAAAAAATGTCATATCATACCTAGTTCCCAAGCCAGCTTAGCATCTTCAGAGTCCTCTTTGAGTCCTGTCTCCAAAGCAGCTAACAGCAAAGTGAGATGTGCAATGAAAGGAAGGACTTGCTGTGTTTCAGTCTGCGGTTCCTTCTTTTTTTTTCATCACAGCAGTGTAGATCACAGGATGAGTGATTATGTTAAGATGTGATTCAGCACTAAAATGGCAATGAGACATATTCCTTTGATCCTAAGTAAAATTTACGTCCACTTGTATCTTTGATTTTGAGGAAACATTCCTTTGAAGTTTGAGCTTTGGTGTGGTTTGAATCTCCAGTTATATGACAACTACTGTTATCTATCAACCATTATTTTTTTGCAATCATATTGGAGTGTTTTGTGTGCTGAGTTCTGACAATAAAATGGAATTTTATAACTTGAATTGTGCTAGATGTATTTTTCATTAGGTATCACTAAGACTTCATGGCACCCTCCAGTGGCCAGCCTCTGGTAAGACAAACACACAAACACATTCATTTCAAGTCTTTATTGCATTTTTTATTTTTTGCTCTCTGCTGTTTCAAAATAGTGGGACATTAAAAGCAGCCACTCTATGCCTATTAAAAACCATTTCTCCAGTTTGACACAGTTGATTTACCTGTTTTAAAACTGTCTTCATACAAATTCCCTTTACAAACTGCTATAACATTCTACTTCAACTACATAAGAGAAGCTAAATGACCAAATTAACTGTGTCTGTGTGTGTGTGTGGGGGGGTTGACTTACAGGGAGCCAGTAAAAGGGAGATGAGTATTCATGCAGCTGAAAGTTCTGAAGAGATAAAGAGACATGTTGAACCACAGGAGGAGTTAGCCCTACTAACACCAGCTGGGATAAATGCTGTGAAGTTTAAAACAGGTACAAACAAGGACAAAACAAAACACTTAGAAATGAATGTAGGATGCACAATTTTGGGATCCCATTTTTCAGCCAAGCTGGATTTCATAAAGGCATAATTAAGCTATGAGCTGTTAGCCAGTGGTGAGGCACAAACCTGTCACCTTGACAACACATTCATTCTTACTGTGTAAATCCAATGTATCGAAAAAAAAACATTGACTGAATATTTAGAGGAACTGTGTTGACGAGTTTGATGCAGTGTAGTGTCGTCATTGGGAACCAACTAAAACCAGTATGTGCATCTTGTCTGAGCAGTTTTAAAGTTGAAGCAATAAGCAGTTCAGCTTTGAGAAACAGGCCTACAGTTTAGTTTCATGTCTGTTGGATCCACAGTAGTTTGTCTAATTTTCTGTATTACAGTTATGACTTTGAGGGTCATGGCTGCTCAGACGCACACAGGCAAAAAACAAACCTTCAAGTTTCAGGTGGACAGCTAAGGTTCTTCATACTATATACAACTAGAGTTCACATACAATACATACAGTCAGTGTGTGAATGAATGTGTCAGTCAGTTACAGAGGGTGTACAAAATAATCTACCAAATGGACATTTACACATATTTGTTTTATTTGACTGGATTTTTGAGATACTCTCCTCTGAAATTTCTGGATGGAATTTTGTTTGTTGTACTTACAGCATGAAAGATTTACACTTAAAATATTCAACTGCAACATCTGTTTCCAGAAACAATGTTCTGGACAGTTTCTCTGTATAATTCACAGACCTCACTGCTGACATTCACAGGAGCCTTGTCTGAAGTACAAATTACTTCTGATTGATTTGTTTCCGTGAATTGTTGAGTATTGGGTATAGTGTTTCTGCTATAGGATCTTTTTTTTTTTTATTTTAACTCTGAGGACCACAAACAAAATTCTCAATGATATCTCATAACCGTTGCAAATTAACCCAAAACTATTTGCATGGCTAGACAACTCAAAAGCAGTGGTTCCCAACCTGTGGGTCAAGACAACCTAAAGCATCGCAGGATAAATCTGATAATTAAGATGAAAGAAAAACAGAAAAACACATTCAAACAATTAATTAGTTCATGGACAATTTTATATCCTCAGACCCCTGAATGTTTTTATATGAAACAATTTGAATCTTTGGTTGAAATGGTCACTATGCATAGACATGCAGTTTATGATGAGGAGTCAGTCAGAACTCCTTGTTTTGAGGGATCACAAGGCAAAAAGGTTGGGAGCAACTGCACAAGAAGCAACAGAAAGTTGTCTTGTTTTTTAAAGTTGCTGAAATGGTAAACAGGCTAAGTACTGCCTTACTTATTATTATAATTATCTGCTTGGTTCTTTGGTAGGTATTACCGTTATTTTGTCCAGCCTCTGTACATTATGTTTGCAGTAACACTTCATAGGAGTAGATTGCTGTTGCCAGAGAAAGTACTAATAGTGGTTATTGTTAGCTTAGTGATATATAATTGTACCAAGGGTTGTGCACTAAAGGTAGCTAGGCTAGCAAGTTGAGACGACTGATATGCTGAAATAGTTGTCTTATGGACAAAACTGTCTCTCTGCTAAATCAAAGGAACACCACATTGGGGTGTTTGTGTGTAATGAATATCTATTTACAAAAAGAGCCACAGGCAGTCAAAATGGGATAATAAATAAAGGAGAGAATTCACATTAATGTGATACAGTAACGCATGACTTCCAAAGACAACCACTCAGAACAGTGATATTCAATTCATTCCCTTTCTCCACATTCTCCATTAATAAATACAAACCTATATATACAATCAACAAACTCTTAGAAAATGCCTGGTATCCTCCATCTTGGAAAATGTGTGGGATAAGAATGAGAGGAAAAGATGTGGACACAGCAGTCACTGGCTCAGTTTACAGCTACTGGAAATGCTCATGGTGGATGTTAATTCTCCTCATCCCATGTCTAATGATACATACGTGACAAGTGGAGGGTGAACTTGGCTACAGAGCCCAGGCTTTTAAACCTTCTCCATGAGCTCTTCAGCAGGTAGAGGGCTGGGAGAAGGAGGGCCAGCTGGGGAGAGCGGGGTTGTGGATCTGGGAGGTGTAGAGGGAGGAGAAGGAAACAGGGTTGGATGGATTGGAGAAGGGGAGGAAGCTTCTTGTTTGGTCGGGGAAGAGAGAGGGAGGAATACAGCAGGTTTGACAGGGGAGATGGGGGAAGGGGAAGCTTGCTTTGTGGGAGAGGAAGACTGGGGTGTCACATCTTTGGTAGGAGAAGATGGGGAGGGACAGGAGACAGGTGTAGAGGGAGTTGTGCAGGTGAAAAGACCAAGAGTGCCTGAGGGTAAGGGAGCTTCTAGAGATAAGCAGGGAGCAGCAGAGGGTGATGTGGGTGATGTTCTTATTTCAGGAGGGAATGCTACCGGCAAAGAGGTGATAGGGAAAGTTTCAGTGGAGGGTGAAGGGGAGAACTGAAGCGAACTTACAGGAGCAGAGGGAGGGAGGTGAAGCTTAGAAGCTAATGGGTCATTTTCATTCTGGGGTTGAGAGCAGGGAGGATTAGAATCAGGCACAGCAGTCACGGTGGTCTTGCTGGGTGATGTCAGCTTGGCGGGTTTTGATACTTTGGTGCTTGACGCTTGTTTGGTTGGAGAAGCTGGTCCCGGCTTTGTCGGTGAGGCTGGTTTGATTGGGAGGGCAGATGGGACTTTGTTGCAAGCTGTTTGGGGGTCTGGACAACGACGGGCGGTGAGCTGGAAGGCCTCTTTATCTAGAGCTGTGTTCTGGCAAAACAGACAGACAGTCATCAGCTGGATACTCTTGTGCCTCTCAAGTTCAAATAATACCACTCAGGAGAGAAAAAGCGATACTGTGGGTCAATCTACACTGACAACAGAAAACCTCTAATTTAGCCTGAAGTTGTCCAGTGAATAACTGATCAGCTGAATGTTTGAAGATATTAAAATAGCAAACTCTTCATTAACTCATCATTAACTAATGACCCAGTTTTTGTGATTTCTTTGATTTAAATGAATAAACAACACACATGATGACACACTCTAATGGAAATGGACATGAATAACTGAAAGATGATTAAACAAGAAGACAGTATGGTTTGCACAGTGGACTGACCCCACAAGAAGGCAAATCAGATCATCAAGTGCTACTCTATGTGCAGAGGAAGGGCAAAGGAGAAAGTCTACGTTTACTTTTTCATTCAGCAGATGCATAGGTGGTGCTTTTGTCCTGAGTGAAGCCAATGATGCGTTTCTCACGTGGGACAGAGAACGAGTAAATGTTATGTTCCTCATTTGCCCTTGTGCTGAATCTCAGCAGCAGAACGGATGAGGCGTAGCGTTAAGTGTTAGTACATACCATTGCCTTGGAGCTAATTCAGAGGGACGTAATGCAGGGAGAGGGGAGAAGCAAAAAGGGACAGAGACTAGTCTTACTCACAGCTTCACAAAATAAAGTCAACACAACAAGCATGACGGCAAGTGGACAGTTGTTGTTCCAGCTCAGTGCTGATCTTTCATTTTTATCATTATTTTGGATCATTTCAACATTTTCCAAACCAAGTGGCCCGCAGATTTTGAAAAGACTAAGTTGGAACAAACTGTAAGAATTTCTATAAGTGACTAGTTCAGACAGATACACGTGTCAGTGAGTGTTTAGCTATATTTGGATAACTGTCAACAAAATGCAGTGGTAAGTGGGATTAAATGTGTTTTTGATTGTACTGATTTTAAAAGATGATGCTGGTCTTATTCTATATATTTCTTATCATCAACAAATCCCATTGTGGCCTGTTTAGCATAAGCCTGGTAGTTTATACTTCTGTGTCATAAAGCTCTGTTGTTGTCCAAAAACTGCTAAAAACACATAACGGAGTCACACTCTTGCATGGGGGAGATATTGTACTTCATTTCCATGTACATGGGTAGTGAAGTTTCTCTCACAGATACCATCCTGCTGCCATAAATACTCACCAGAGGCCCAAATGTATATTAATCCAGGGCTGATAGTCCAAATGCTATGTTTGCTAAAAACTACAGTACCAAGGAATGTTTTAGGAATGAGGCTGAGTGCCACAGACAGGTTAGGTATGTTACAAATTGTAGATTTTTATCTTTTCATGGGAGTTGTTGACAATAAGAAAAATATAGAATCCTGCCATCCTTATCCTTTTAAAATGTGCTGGGGAATCTTGTATCCAAGGCAATAAAGCCACACTGGTTTGCATCCTTCTCTGCTAATCTGAACTACAGAATAGTTCCAGCACAGTTTTTGATTTTCTCCACAAGGTGGCATCAGAGCACCATTAATATGTTACAAGTGCTGTTAGACCAAGTTTAGATTTATAGAAATTTACTGAAAGTTGATTTTAAGGAGCTATTTTCAATGAGATTACTAACAAACAATAATGGCAGAGAGGGAGGCAAATGACACTGCTCTTGCACTAGCTCGTATTGGCTGCCACTGTAAACATGCTAAACAACCTCAATCACAATGTGATTAAACAAACATCCTTCAAAACAGATGATAATTTTCACATCCCGTAAAAGTTGGTACAAATGGAATGAAATGTGACTGAAGGACCGAATGAGAAGTATGAAAAGAGTCAGGGGTAAATCCAGGACAGAGCGCCTTTTGGGAGAGAGTTAGTGTGGTCCACATCAGTTGGTTATTGTTACTGCAGCCGAGGGGCAGGGGGCCTGAGAAAGACACAGGAAGGAAGGGAAGGGAGGAAGGGAGAGTAGTAGGGGGTAGGAGCCGTTTCAGATGTGGGGAAGAGGGTGAGGGGAAGGGCGATGGCTGGAAAGGAAGAAGGGAGGCAGCGGGAGGGAGGGAGGGGTGAAGTGTGTACCCGGCTTTCAGCTCCAGGCGTCCCCTGTGGTCCTGGGTCGGGTGTGAGGGAGGGGTGAGGAAGAGGGAGGAGGAAGTGGATGGAGAGGAGGAGGGGCCGAGGCCAGGGCCCGTGTTTACACCTCAAACTGTCAAATGAAATTTACAACAAAATGAGGCTCTTTGCAGTAAAGAGGGGGATCAAATTAAATTTCTAATCAAAGAAACTTCCCCTTCCCCCCTTTTCCTGCCTTCGGTACAGACAGACAGACTGAAGAGAGTGCACGAGGCTGATGGGTGGTGTGACCTGATGAGATGAGGAGTGGAGGAAGTCAAACTGTACAACAGGAAATGATGCAAATGGGGCTTGAAACAGACAGGGTGGAAGGATGTGACTACAGGAATGACTTCACTGTTCTGTTCTTCCATCATTCCATCTCTAAAATCCTGTCTTACATGTTCACAGCAGCATAAGTTGCTTATAACTTGTATGTAATGTCTTTTTCAACCATGATTGAGGCCAGATATTCTATCCCAGGGATCAAGTGAGTGCAAGATTCATATAAAGTAGAAAGTAGAAGAAGCTCAGTCGTCTTTATGTGGGTCAAACATTCGCTGTCACGCTGTCAACGTTTGGAAAAAGGCCTGACCTGTTCAAGCCACTGCATGACCCCGTTAGTGACGACTAAACCCACGTCAAAACATCAATATTAGAGATTTAAGAGGTAACTGAAAGCTAACATGACCTCATGAAGGTCAAACTATCAAAAACAGTGCTGCAGTAAATCTCAGAAGATTGGGCAAAAAAAAATGGTTGTGAATGTTTTTGGGTGCTTACCATGATGACCGCCACACCAGCTGTGGTGTTGTTGTGCTTTGGCGCAGTGTTAAAGTGCGTCTGCAGTTTACCTGTCACCTCCATCTTCATGTTGTTCTCCATAACTGCATCGTCCTACATAAACGCACACAAACATGTAAAGTGTACAATGGTTTCATGCACAGGAAACCTGAACCTGAATCTTAATGCACAAATCTCAAATGTTTCCGTTCACACATACAGTACTGCGCAAACGTTTCAGGCACCAAAGGTACAGTGAGCATGCTTTCAAAATGAATGTTTTATCTAACAATTAACTTTATGCAAAGTGCAGTGAACAGAAAAATCCTTTATCAGATCAATATTTGGTGATTTCCCTTTGTCTAAAATAGTTTTTCAAGGAATTTGGCTGATCCAGTCATCTTGGCGAACTTGCCACAGGTCTTCTCTCTCTTCATGTAATCCCAGACTGACTCTGAGATCAGGGCTCTGTGGGGGCCAGACCATCAGGTGCAGGACTCCTTGCTCTTCTTGTCTCTGAAGATAGTTCTTTATGACTCTAGCTATGAATCTTTAGTGAAGGTTAAAGCAGGGAGACGACTGTCAGCCAGCCTTATCTTGCCATCACACCGAGGCTCCACCTCTCTCCCTCACTATTATCTGGTGATTCCACTTGGTTGTGTGCATGGGCTTTCTTGTCATTCAGTGATCATCTTAACTGAAGAACATTAAACATCATTTAGCAACTTTGCCCCGCCACTGGTGTCAAGGCCCCGTCTAAGGCTCCTCCAAAGGGATCTCAAATTGGCTGCTATTCATCAAGTATTTGTTAAATTAGGCTTCTGCATTCATGTTAATCTGGGTTCTCCTGATTGAAGTATGCTGAGGGTCATTGTCAAGCTGCAGAATGAATCTGGAAAACATCGGACGCCTCCCTGATGGTGTTGTGTGACAGATAAGATTCTACACATCCAAAGCGCCTAAACCTTTTGCACAGTATTGTACATGAAAATATACACAAACAGTGTTATACAATACCGTGACCCATGGGTGGGAGAGGACATCTTGTGCTGTGTATCGAGCCTCCATGTTGACCTGCAGCATCTTTCCAATCAGCTCCTGAAACAGAACACACTACAGTTTAGGGCAATATCAAAGCCATTGGGCCATAATTAATTATTATTGACTTTTAGATGTATGTGAATAAATGATCATATTGTGCTATTGTTCTACACAACTCTGCTATGCAAATTATCCATTCCAAGTAAACTGCTGCTGCAAATAAAAACAAAACAATTGGTTACTGATGTTTTTGTTCTGTGTTTGGTGCTGGCAGTTTTGCAACAGCTTTTTTTTTTGTTGTTGCTGCTGAAAACAGCTGCCCTTGTGGCCGATAACGACGCTGATTGTAATAAAACAGGAAAGTCATGGGTCATAAAACCAAAACAATGAGCCGATAAACATGGAGCAGGGGAAACTGTGGAGTTAAGTGATAACTGACTAACACCCTTCACATTGCTCACAGTCTTTTGGTACATTGTTGATGCAAAAATCTAAATTAGTGTATCTTTAAGTATATTATGTGTGTATTATGTTTACCATACACTTTGTATATTGCTATAAAATATCGTGGCAACCATGTTTCTCACCTCTCCGAGGGTAAAGCCACAGACAACGAAGTTGATGTACATGCTTTCACACATGTGCTCACAAAGTAAACACACAGTGTCTGGATTAATATCCTCCCTTAAATTTACATCTGCACAGCTTCAGAATGTGCAAGTCGTGTCATGCTGTGGTGTCTATAACTGTGCACTTGTCTGCAGTGACAGGCCACTGTAATAGCAGTGGGTTTAATTAGCAGTTTGGTCTGGCATGCTGAGCGTGGGCTGTCACCTTAATACATGACATTAATTTAGTGGGCTGGAGGGGTTTCTGTCCGTCAGCAGACAATAGTCATTAATGGAGCGGCTTCACATGGTGTGTGTGTGTGTGTGTGTTTAAACTATGTAACATTTAATATCTGTTTCAGACTTCTTACTGATGCTGCATTCAGTTCAAGGTAAAATGGTAACCCTCCAAAGAAGGGAGTCAATATAATATCATCTAAAGTCACATAAATAAACTGTTGGTGTGTGAGTGCCAGGGGTCCCCACCTTGGCTGAGTCGGTGATGTTGTCCCAGTAAGGACTGGGGAAGTCTAGTCGCCCCAGAAGGATCTGGTCAAACAGGTCCTCTTGCAAGTTACTCTCACTACATGGAACGACACACACAAACACTCGTCTTATTCAGCACACATGGCATAACTACATATCTACATGATATGTTTATTATAATAACCATGAAGTACAACTGATTAAACATGGATCACAATAATTTAGGTCAAATCCCTTTCACTCTATTATTGCTGGATGACAATAGCTTAATTAGCCAGCAGGTAAGAAAAACAAATTCCAAAATGAATGTGATTGAACTCCTCTTAACATGATCCATGGCTGACACCTTTACTCAACATTGTATCTATTGCTTAAAACTGAAAACTATCACACTTGTTTAATAGTAACAGATAAAGCTTGACGTGGATGGAACAAGTACCTTCTAAACGGAGGGAAGCCACACAGAAGGATGTAGGTGATGACACCTGCAGCCCAGATATCCACCTTCAGACCATAACTGTGAAAAGAGATGAAAATGTCACTGAAGCACTAAATGTACCCAAATATCTGAATAACAGCAAACCACTTCCATCTTCCATCATCTCAGTGTTACAAACACAGAAGCTGACTGACTGGACATAAAGCAACAACATGAAGTACATACTGACATTTTGGAAAGACAAGGCTTTCAATCTACTATAATGATGATGATGTGGAAGTAAATATACCAGACACATGGTTTGTGTTTCTTTATTCAGCACCATTCGCCTTTCAATCTCCAGACAGCTGATTACAACACAGCCGTACTGCAGACCCTCATTTCTACTCTGCTGTTGTACGTAGAACAGATGTTTCCCCTTAAAACCAACTCACAGATCAGTAGAAACATACATGTTTCTCTATAACGAGCACCGTCCCCAGTGAAAACCAAAAGCCTCACATGCTGCCAAAATACTCGGCTTACCCAGACTCTGCGATGATTTCTGGAGCCACATATGTAGGAGTGCCACATACGGTATACAGGGGTCCCTCCACGACTGTGGCCAGGCCAAAGTCCCCAAGCTTCAGTGACTTGGTGCCATCTGGGTACTCAAACACCTAGAATCAGAGTGCATGCTCAGTTGAGGCCCGCTGAGCAGTTGGAGTAGGGAAAAAAAGAATGTTGTGTGTATGTGAATGTATACCAGCAGGTTCTCTGGTTTAATATCTCTGTGGACGATGTTCATGCTGTGCAGGTACTTCAGAGCTCCGGCGAGGTTGTACACCATGATGCTGGCGTCTCTTTCTGTGTATTTGGCCGAGGAGGTGATGGCATCAAATAAATCCCCTCCCTGCGCCGGTAATAAACACACTGGTTACATATTAAAACACACACAGACACGAGGAGTGCGCACTGATACTGACACAGAGTTGGCCTGTACTGTACCTTGACAAGCTCCATAACCAGGTACAGTTCAGAGGGAGTGTCCACCTCCTCAATCAACATGATGATGTTGGGGTGTTTCACTTTCCGCAGCACTGCCACCTCATTCTCGATGAGGTGCTCCTGGAAACACACAACCCACATAGATAATCAAAGCGAGCCTGTTACTGTGCACTCCAGCACACAGGATTTACACTGAGCCATTATGCTCATAAAAAAGAAAGTGCTTTGTTGATTGACTCTGAATTGGTGTCAAGGGTGTGTGATTCAGAGTGTGTCATTGTGTGCATGTGAAAGTGTGAAGATAATTTGAGTTAAGTGATAAATAAAACATTGCCAACCTAATCTAACCGTGAGGGATAAGAGGATCAGAGACACAAAGGTAACACTGTATTCTACGTGGGTGTTAATAATGCACAGTGGAACACTAACATATGACCGCTTCCTTACAACTGTGTGAGTGTGTGTGCGTGCGTGTGTGTCTGTATGTGTAAAAAAGTCTGACGGTAAAATACAGAAAGAAGAGAGTGGAAATAGAAGATGATGAAAAAAGAAGGACAGAGTGAAACCTTTCCACTGCACTTGGCCTTGTCGATGATCTTCAGTGCAAACTCTTTTCCTGTGGACCTGAACAGAAACAGTGCAGTTAGGGCCAACAATACAAACAGCACTGACGCCACAACACTGTAATTGAAATCAAGCACCCACCACAGAGCATCATTTACAGTGTGCAAGAGCACAGCCACGAAGCTATTTGAAAGGTATGTTGGCTGTACGAGCCAAGTTTATACAATGAACAGAGATGCAGTGCAGATACAGGCAGGCTCAACAAGAACATGAGAACACATACTTGAAGAGTAATTTAACACCAGGCTGAAGATCAGTGTTTCACTGCCATCTCTGGTTGAAAGTCTCAAGTTTGTTCCACCTTAGACAACACCCAGTGTTACTGCTGGGTCAAAAGTGCTCTGTTACACCCATAACCACAGCCAACAGTGATTGCACAGTGTACTGACACAGCCTGGAGTACACTTCTACATCACTGCAGCGAGTGGAGAATTTAAACCACTGGAGGCCAGCAAAAACAAGGTTTTCAGTTCAGGGGGTTTTAAGTTACTTGCAAGTTTATCCTTGCAAAAATATACATAAAGTAAAGGCTGCAACGCAAGAGCAATGTTCAGATGAGTAAGTCCCTATTCTGTTAAAATCTCATGCTTTACCAACATGACGATGTACCTGTATTCACATGAACATGCAAGTGATGCAGTACACATTCCTTCCAACAGATTCACACTATTCCACTGACTAAGAAATGTAGCAATGCACCAGCCAAGGGCAGGGAAGTAGAGGACTGCCAGCTGATGTTAAGAGATGTATGGACAGCTCTACATAAATAATGGGAATTTCAAAATATCTGAGCATGGAAGTTCATTCTTGACCATTGGAAACAGTGTGTGTAGCTTTCAACTACACCTCACCGTCTTAATTCAAGGCAGACTGAAAGCAAAGAAAGCTATTCAACAATACTTTTGTGCTAAGATTGTTATGGCTTTGTAAATGTTTTTTTTTTTTGGAGGCTTACTGGGCCTCACAGGGCATCTTTCAGTACTTTCCAGGTAGGTGCATCAGATTATGAGAGCACACATTGACAGGCCTGCTGTCATCACCATCTCCCCTGTCTGCCTGGGCAGTGTGTTGACTCAGAGATTAAAAGGCTAATGAAGTGAATTCACCGCTGGGTTTAATCCATGGGATATTTCTGTCTCTACAATGCCTGTCATCAGGACTTAAACACCCTGATGGAGCAGTTGATACACGTGATGCACATCTCATTAAGCAGTGCAACAAGGCACACTGCTGTGCTCCACTGCAGCCAGCTGCCAACTGTGCATTAAACACTTCCAGTCTGATTAAATGTGTTTCACGTACCTCTCCACACACTCCTTGACCACAGCAAAGTTGCCATCTCCAATGACCTTCCCAACTTTGTATTTTTCCAAAATGGTGGAGGCAGGCAGGTAACGGTTACCATTAACTGCTAAGGAGAGATGAAGGTTAGAACAGGCGACAGACCGGCCCTGCCGTTCAATAGAAACAAAGGAGCTTTGGCAGAAACTCAACCGGTTCTCAGACTGAATTAAGGACCCACATGCTGTGACACAAAAAAACATACTCACTGGAATCAACATGCCAAATGATCTCTACAAGTCCTCCTGCAGCAGTTAGAGAGCTGAGAAGCAATATTATGTCCCCACACACACACACACACAGCCGTGAAATCATTAAGTTCAGTATTTGCTCACACAGCAATGGACTATTTCACACTTATCTTGAAAATGTGGCTAAGTGAGCCACTTTTGTTGGGTAAGCAAATTCTCTAATCTGCTGCAAGGGGACAAGATGACTATCGTTTAAATGTTACTCAATGTCACTGTCAGCCAGGAGAAGAGAGGAGAGGAGGGGAAGGAATGGGAGGAGAGGAGAGGAGGAGAGGATGTACCCTCTGGACTCAGTCGATTGCTTTGCTCTTGGTGGTTGTTCAACGAGCCATTTACATTTGGGGAGGAACTGTGATGTGATGGAGGTATCTGCAGGATGTAAAAAGAAACAAAAATAGAGATGAGCACCTGGCCTAAAGCAAAAACAAGTAGACAAATCACCATGGCAACCTTCAGCTTTAAAAACACCCACAAAACATGCTGTACATGGGTAAAACATAGCTAGTTCATATTGGTGGGTGACTTTTCTTCGTGGCTCAGATTAAAGATTTTTTTTACATGCTTCAGATGGCACAAAAAAGGAGACTAGCAAATAAACATCATATCCATGACATGATTTAGCAAGATACCCAGAATAAAGCTAAATTAATGCCTACTCATATTAAAAAGTTCCAACAACTGAAGAGTTACACAACCTGTGACTATTTGACATGGTGAGATACTCTTTAAGGATTGCAGCTCACAGAAATAACAGCACAGCCTGCGCATTAATCCTAAAATAAAAAAATATTATTATTCAAATAGTGAGCAAGGTCTAAAATAAGCTTGCCCTTCAAAGTGGACAAGGTGTCAGAGCTGCTGGAATAGATCTCCTCCATAACCACTTATCATCACTGCACATAAAAGCGTTATAGCTCTAAATGAATGATACATTTGTTAAGAGGGTCATTTCTGTGCAGTGGCAATTCTGACATCTTATGGCTATATTTTTGAAAGCAGTGGTTCTGTACCTCACTGCACCATGATGTACATTATCTTACAGTAAGGATCTATTATTTATTCTAAAAGCATAGTGCTTTGGACCAAAGTAGAAGGTGTGAGAGTTTCAAGGTCTCTTTTACAACTGGGTACATAAAAAAGCTTTTTCCTCTTATAAATAACTTTTTCATGTGGCTTTAGTTTACCAATCCACCTCCACATTTCAAAGAGGGTGAATGAGAGAGAGAAAATATGTCATTAACATCCTTGCACTTTCTCATTTAGTTTTTTTTCCAAATAATTCTGCTCTACTAACCCTCTTTACCAGCGAATTTTAAAGCCGTCAGTAAATCATAAAAATCGAATATCCTGCCAAATTAATATGGGTGGATAAGTCTTTGACTGGGCTTAGAGAGGAACAGTGGCTCTCTGGAGGAGGTTTGCCAGCTGGCTGCAGCAGTTACACACTCTGTAGTTTGGGACTAACACACATCTTACAGAAGAACCCATCAATAAATCAGATTAATATCCCAGACTCTACCAAAGATACATCATAGAGCTGCAACACAGGCTACATGGCTGTCAGTCGGTGACTTGATGACTTGACATAGATTTATTTCATCACTGTGTATTAAGTAGGTCGGTACAATATTGCCTTATCTCCTCCCTTAAAGTACTACCTTAAAGGAACAGTTTGACTTTTTGGGAACATTTCTTGTTCCCTTTCTTACCAAGAGTTAGAAGATACCACTCTAATGGTTGTACTGTAGATACAGCAGCCAGTAGCTAACCAGAAACAACAAAACCTTCCTACCAGCACCTTTAAAGCTCATTAATTAACACATCATTATCTTGTTTGTTCAATCTGCTAGAAGAAAGTGTAAAAACAACAAGCTGCCCCTGGTGGATAGGATAATATGTTTGAGCACAGCTGTCCATTGTGGGTGTCTTGTGTAGACATCTACTGTAGGTGACATGCATGTGCATGCAACTGTCTTACCTTAAAACTGGGGATGGTTCGGGGGCTGGTGGGAGACGGAGTGGAGGACTTGGTGGACTTCGGAGTTGAGATCTGGCTATTTGAGACACCATTTACTGTATGGAGACAGACAGTGGGAGGAGATTTGCAAGAGCAAGAGTCTTCTGTGTTTGAGACTGTTGTTATGCCTTCATACCGGCAACAGCCAAAGCCAGAGGCATAAATGTTCACCTGGACTCAAGGATGAACTGGTCAAAAGGTGAAGGTCACTGTGACCTCACAAAACACATAAATTCAATACATTTTAAATAATTTAACAAAATGTAAAAAATGTAACTCAATTTAATTTAAATGAGAACACTGATCTTAATTAAGTTAATTTAATTTAATTAATTTCACAAAATTAAATTAGAGTAAATTTTATTCTATTGGAATAAAATAAGATATAAAGTACATTTATTTAATTGTTGTAATATAATTAAACTAATTTAACAGAGGCATACAACTGCAAGGCGTTTTGTTGTTGTTTTTAAAGTGTGTTTGGAGTGTGTTTGCCAGCAAGCCACTGTTTGACTGATTCATTCTCTCAAGAACAGACTATTTCTGCTTCCCTCTCTCTTGGTTTCTGGCACAAATACAGAGACATAATGCGTCAAACTTTAAATCATAGTCTCTCTTCATCTGCATAAACCCAGTTGAGCTGAAGAAAATCATTTCACACTGCCTACAGGCTGTGCCTTTGTAGTGCTGTTTTAGAGTTGCACATTTTTGTTTTACTGTTAAGTTATAAATTCCCACCAAATTGTCTTCTGGGTATTAAAAGCACTTCTAAATCAATATTTGAGAAAATAATTGAAACAGAGGACATTACTGAATGTTTTTTTTAGTGTAGTTTAACTTGGAGCACCTCAGCTGCTACAGATAAAGAGCCATGTGATGTAACTGTTCAGTGAGGGCAGGATTTAATTGGCACAGCTGAAGAGTGAGTCTAATCATCAGTTCATGGCTTTAGATCAGTGGATTCTGCAGCAGCTAGCTCTCAGATTAGATAGATTAGATAGATGTGTACAGTTCATAGCAGCTCTGTGGCTTAGCCAGAGCAAAGGAGAGAAAGAAGGTCAAAAGAAAGGGAATGTCTCTAGTTTAAATAACTTGAAAACGTTATAATAGATGTAGCCAATTAGCATGTAACATGTGGCATGTCAGCATGTTGAACATAGGTTCAGTTAGCAAGGTGATGCTAACATTTGACAAGTAGCTTAACATGCTCTTGTTTTGTGTATTAGCCTGCTATATTAGCATTGATTTCAACACTACACTGAGGCTGAAGGCAGCTTCATTATTTTTAGAGGTTTCACTCTGAACCTGCCCACACTGATGACAGTGTTATACTGTTATAGTATCCAGAGCCAACATTTATTCACAAGAGAGGAAGAGAACTCAAACTGTGAGAAGCTCATTTTACCCAATTACTATACACTAATTACCAGAGTGAATTGATATGGCAGGTGTTTGACAACGGTAGACTGTATGACCCCATCACCAGCCTCACCTGGGGATTTGATTGGAGACTGACTGGTGGAGTAGTGGACAGGTCGCCTTGCTGCAGTGTCAAAAGCAAAAAAAAAAAAAAAAAAAAAAAAAAAAAAATCATATTACAAGACACTATGAAAGTAGTTCACCTTCCGAGGCAGAACTTCTGGCAGTGCCACTTCAAATTGGCAACCTCTCAAATACCTCTTTTTCAAACTTGGCGTAATGGCTTGTATAACACTAATTAGTCAGCATAATGTCACCATCTCTCAATGCAGCACGCAAATTGCTTAGTCACTCTCACAGCTGTTGAGGGTTTAGGATGAGACTACAAAATAAAAGGCTGTTACTCAGCCTGTCAACCGCTAAACTACTTACATTGTTGCTTTGGCATCAGATAAATGAGTGAAATATATTTTCACACATATAATGTAATAATTTGCAAGACTTGACCGTTCTGATTGTCGGTTGATGAGTTTGTTCTTTCATCTACAGTGTGTGTGTGTGTGTGTGTGTGTGTGTGTGTGTGCGCACAGTCACATGTCTGACCTGCACCAGGGGACTTGCTGCGTCGTGAAGGTCCAGGGCTCTTAGCTGTTCGGTTTGGAGTAGCAGAGCGGCTGTACGATGACTTCAGCACTCTGCATTCTGGAGACACAACACACTCAGGGTCATCATCGCATATATTAACCTTCCTCTATCAACAAACCTTTCTTCACAAAACAGAGTTAATGTAGCACTATTATTCCCTATTCAACGAGCTGCTGTTGGAAATAATAGTACAGGGGATATGGCCCTGGCAATGTTATTTATGTGGGTTGATTTCATGAATGCTGGTCACACTTGATTATGCAGACAGAGAGCAAACAACAAACAACAATGGAAAACACTGTTTAGTCAAAGCAGGTTAAAAAGCACATAGAAACACATAAATTACATGAGAGTTACTTTACCAATACCAAAATGACACTTTATTACTTTCCCTCCCTTTCTGGACCCTTTTTTTAAAATGTAAAAAAAGCCAAACTTCTCCATGGTTAAAGATGCTGTCCAGGTTTTAACCACTAGTAGTGCTATAGAGCAAAACATGACTTGCTTGTTTACAAAAAATGGCACATGGCACCTTTAAATGCTGTCAAACACACAACTGATTTAATTGAATAAATATCTGGTTAGAGAGTACTAAACAAGACCCCAAATCTGACTGGGCATTGTAAGCCATCTTTCAGCTCATGACAGTTTTTTGATACTTGACTTGACAGACACGTTTGTTGGTGCCAGAAAAATTATATTAAGGTACAATACTATATTGATTACTTATGATGATTTCTTACATTTGAGGATAGAATATCCCGATCAGCCCGAGTACAAGAATCATTTACAACATGGCCCCAACTATCATAACATAAGCCCCGTTCTCTTCCTTTATGTACCTCTATTAATTTGAATGATCTCTTACACAGTCCATTTTCTACATTTTTATTCTTTCCATGTTTCAACAGTAGAGTGTGTACTGGACCTATTTTGCAAAAGGAAGAGCAGCTTCTGTACCTTCAGCAGAGAGTACAGTGTGCCTTTTTTGTTCTTTCAAAGACCTAATTTTTAAAAGTGGAGCACAAGAATGTAAGTGGGACGAAATCTCCAAACTACTTCCGAATATGACCCGTCCACCATCACTCATCCGCAGCAGCAAACGCAGTGTATGTGTTAGGATATGTGTCCCTGTTGTTAGCTAACCTGACAAAACAACATAAAAATGCAACAGGATGTCAATACTTTTGTTACTAAAATAAACTCCTTCTTCCTTCCTGTGAGGTTGTCCAGTCTTGGCTGACATGCTGTGGTGCTGTGACAGTGAATGGATCTGCTGGTTTAAAGAGGTCATGTCCTGCCTATGTGCTCTAAAACTTTCACTACTTTTTCAGCAAGATAAAGGAGAGATACCCGACAGAGGGTGTGCATTATATAATAATAATATGTGAACAATAAATACAGTACAGAACATGAATGCAACTGTGGCATACATGAATAAAATTTCACATAGATAAAAATGCAACCACTTTTCCCTAACTGACAGCAAGGATGTGTGTGTGGAAATGTGTAGCACCAATGTTTTTTGTTGATTCTGGACTATTTGTTAAATAAACTGTAATAAAAAAACTAAAATCTACTTTCCACAATCAAAATTATAATAATCTGGATTAAACTGGTCGTATAACAATTGGGTCTTAATTTATACACACAGATGTTATATCCTGCTGTCAATTTCCGAAAGGAAAGAGTGTGCAAGCACTTGTGAGAGAAGAATTGTGGGGAAGGAGACTGAGGCTAACCCACACACACACACACACACACACACACACACACACACACCAGGAGACGGATGTTTAGTTAGTCTTAGTCAGGCCTACCAGTCATAAAGGCTGTGGAAGCCTTACCGCTGTGATCCAACACAAAGTCATCCTGGGCATAGCGGTACTTCTCTGGGCCACACGCTATGAACACATCATCGTCCCCAAAGAAGTCCTGCAGGCAGGTAATCTGGAGGAGGAAGGGGGAGGAGAGAGGAAAGGTAAAACAGATTATTCATTAGGGTGTAATATTCGTTTGCCTCTTTTGATATGCAGAAGTGGAGGTGAAAGAGGTGATTGGATCCTTTACACAAACAGTAATACAACAATGTAAAAATACAAAATGACAGAGTTCTGCATTATACATTTTATTTACACTTTTTTAGCTTACTATCAAGTCCATGTGTTCCTTGTAGCCGATTTTTTCTGTCACCTGGTCAGACCCATACCACAGTGAATTTTAAGATACTATTACTTGGGGAGTCATACATTTTACAGATGGTGGCTTTAAAGATTTTAATACGCATGTGCACAAACACACTGCAATGTGAGTTCCTGTTGAAGGTTTTACTCCTTTTTACAGGTGGTGGCGGTGAACAGCAAAAACAGAGCAAATTGATGCAGACTAAGCTAAAAAACATGGATATACACAAAAAAAAAATCTGATGAGTGGAACTCAACTAATTTATATTGTTTTGTAGTTTAACCTATAGAAACTCATCATCTTTTGTATGCTTAGGTTGTAAAGCCTTACTCTGCACAGTAACAATACAACAATACAGTGCAATAAAAAGTATCTTGTATCTTGCACAAATTGAATATAATTGTGCTACAAGTGCAAGTTAACAGTTTCTATCATAAGGCATGGATTATTGATTTTGGTTCACCAGTGTTACCAGTTCCAGGGATTCACATGATTCTGCGTTATTTTACATGATCCTACTGGCGTACAGTCATTTCACTGTACAAGAGTAACTGCTAACAGTAGTTAAAATGACTTTGCTCTGTGCAGGCTGAGCCAATTAAAATCAGCCTGAGTGATGCGTGTGGTAGAATAAGGTTATGACTGTGTTTGAGTGAACAGTACAGAGACACAGAGCATGTCAACAATGCAAGGTCATAACATCCTGACATGCAGAATATACTGCAGAGTCAATGCAGAATCATAGGAAGAAAGCAGTACAGTTAGCGTTTGTGCCGCATGGTAATTTGTCTTGCTTTTTCTATTCTGTCTCACACTGTGATCATCATTTTCTCTGCAGCTCCCGGCATTTTTTCTTTTTACACCCACCACCCACCCCTGGAGATGGAAAGGAGAGTTACTTTTAGGCTACAGTGAGTTGTGCCTACACACACACACACACACACCGCACACACACACACACACACAGCACACAGATTATCCTTCTGTTGCTGTAGGTGGATATGTAGGAGGACAAAGAAGGAAAAGATCCGTTCATTATCCCCCCCCCCCCACATCCCCAAATGCAAGTGCACCCACATACTGGCAGACATATGTACATGCACGTATGCACACACACACACACACACACTTGAAACAAGAGTAAGAGGGGAAGTACACCATGGCCGAAGATTATGGGCAGATGGATCCTCTGGGGGAGATTGGGGGCTGACACAGTGGGGGAAAGTGTGTGTGTGTGTGTGTGTGTGTGTGTGTGTGTGTGTGTGTGTGTGTGTGTGTGTGTGTAATAGAAGAACTGGTGGTCCAGAAAAGCTAAATGGCTACTGATGAACACAAACAACACAGTAAAAAGAAGAGGTGGAGGCTGACGGAGAAGGAAACAGAAATGGAGGAGTGGGAACTCTGATGACTAAAAATGCAAATTATTAGTATTTAAAAACACCAATCAAATATCATACATGTATTTATATCATTCAGTGGACTCAACTACACATCTATTAATAATAAATAAAACAACTCACATGACACTTCTGCATGTCCTACATTCAGACACCATGAATTAAAAATGAACCAGGATTCAGTATCCATAACATTCTCATAAATTATCAAAAACAGTATATCATGGCCTTAATGTGTCCCTTCTGTCTTGTCTGTGAGGCAAATGGATCAGCTTTTTACTCAGCAACAAACCAACGGAAACAGTGAAAACAGAAGAGGAGTGCTTATGCAATGTGTGTGCATACGGAGCTGTGGCACATTATCAGAGGTTCGACATAGCTGGAGTGAATGCCATTCTTTAGATGAGCTCTCACTCTAGAACTTGGCAGCTGATCGCCAACACCATACTGTCGACGCACGGGTGTTAGAATCACCATGGCAACAGCCTACAGGGAACAGTCCAATGTATGTGTCAAAAATGGATGCTGCTGTAGTGCAAGCTATGTCAGCGAGAGACTGATGCATATGGATTCAAGATAATATACCACCAATAAACCAAGACAGTGCCCACACGCTGCTTTCTCTGGTGTGTGGAAGTTATCGATGACAACACTGTCCAGTATTTTTCCACCCACTCAGCGGATTGTGTTGGTATGGAGCTCTCTGGACTGTGATGAAATCAGCTGTAAGAGACCCTTTGTGACAAGTTAAAGGAGTCGATTCAACATTTTGTAAATACACTTATTTGCATGATGGCGGATGTGAAGATGGATACCACTCTCCTATCTGTCTGTAAAATCCTGTGACATACAACCCCTGTTAAATTTTTACAGCTTTTGTGACGATCAACAAACAAGATATAATGTATTCCTTACACTCCCTCTCTCACTCCCTCTCTAACAAACCATAGCACACACATTAACTAAATTAGCTCACAATAATATGAAATGCAATTTGAATCCATGCTTCAAAAGGTCTTCACTAAGTTATCTTGCTGTCGCCCCAGGACATGCTTGTCCCAGCGCCCCTTGAGGCAACAGGCTTATGGTGAAGAAAACGAACTCTGGGCTGTAATATTATTCGGTCATATTTTCATTTTCTTTCACCCCATGCGCACACCTCCCTCTCTCTCTTTCTCTGCAAGCCTAGCACTGCTGTGTCCTGTGATAAAGTACTTTTCAGCCAGACCTGTGATGCTCAGGGGAATGCGGGAAAACGAAGACAAATGGTGCCTGGACAGAGTTTTAAGAGGCAACAATGAAAGGAGGTCAAGGGGTTGAGAAATTTTGTTCCAAGTCTGTGAAATGATGGCATTGTAACTTAGATACAGTTTTAAAACTGCATCATTTACAGTTTCTTGGAAAGTGACAGTTAATTTAAATTAAGGATAAAGCAAATCCTTTGTGAAAAATGTGGAGGTTTTGTTTGTTTTTTGGTGATTATCTATCATTAAAGTGTGAACTTAAGCTAAGGTTTGTGGGGTAAGAGAGTATATAAGTAAAAAATATGAGAACCACCAAAATTGAGAACCACTATTAAACCAAGCGGCAACCTCCAGGGCTGAAAAACGAAGCCAACATTTAAGTTGCAAAACCTGCAGTTCCTCAAACAACCACTTGAGGCTGGCTCCAAGAGTGAGTCAATCCCCATACACTCCCATGTTAAAATCTCCAGCTTTACAGCAGAAAGAAACATGTTTACAGCCTGGTACAAAAAACTGTTTCAGTCCTCATAGCTAATTTCCTCCTTCATGAGGGGGTTTCATAAAACTCAGCCATTCAAGTTTTATTAAGGCTTAAAGTTCTGCATGATTGAGGGAGTGCCACTTAGAGTGACAGGTGAGCAAGCATATGCTTGCCACAAACCAGTATGCACCAAAGTCTCAGCTTCCCACATGACCCACCTCTTTGCCCATTTTTGGATTATCCGGGACTTAAGCTTCAAGACCGCTCTTCAGAAATCTACGGGTGACGCCATGGAGGCTACATCCATCTTTATTTACAGTCTATGTATTTAACATGGTATGCTTAACCTACTAATCTTTTGTCCGTTTTAGGGCAGTGAAAACCAGCTGCAAAAACAACATTGACATATTATCACCTAGTGAACATAAAGATAAAATTCAATCTCTTTTAGCTCTGTTTTTTGTTCTTACCACATCATGAGGGAAATATCTGTCTCTTTAGCTGCTAGATGCTCCACTGTGTTCACCAGCTAGTTGATAACTGTAACTGCCTGCTGTTTGGTGCTGAGCGGGTAGTGTATATTTGGTTATTAGTGATTTTTTGCTAAAATAGCTGCCTGTTGCTGTTGAAAGTGACGATGAGAGGGGTGAGAGTGAACCAAAGAAGTAAGGTTGCAGACTGGACAGCTAAACACTGGAGCTGATACTCTAACTAGAGGTGATAATTCTCTGAAGGTTAATCACTGCAAGCGACACTTTAAACATGACAGCAGTTGGAAATTGTTTTTTGCTGACTTCCTACCTAGCTGCAGTGATGCAGAAGTGTAATCCAGGGTGTCAGTACAGCATGGCATCACTGTGTGGTTACAGGTAAAATAAAATTCTACTGACCAAATGCAGGTGTTAAAATCAAATGAAAATCCTGCACACATCGGCTCTGAGTTCAGACAGAGCACTTACATTGACATTAGCCAACTACCTGGCACATTCAGCAGTGATATTCATGAGGATGATGAAGTGGTTTTAATAATCTGCCTAGCTCTCACTCATTTCTAATGACTGTTGGTAATGATTTGATTCCTCCAACTGCTGCTGCAGATTGATTTCTCCCTCCACCTCCCTGGTTTCCTGCAGTTCTCAGTGCAACATCCAAAGTCACCATCACTTCTGTATCTTGTACATGTGTGTATTTCACATTTCACTGAAACTCGTCTGCTGGCATTCAGATAATGGTTTGTAACAATTTCAATAAATGCAGTAAATGGTAAAACAACTGTGACGTTAATGCGAGTGAAAGGTTGAGCAGATACTGATGCTGCTTTTAAAACATAAATAAGAAACGCAGCGTAACATGAAGAATATGTGAAGAATGGTGCAGAAAAGTGCAACATCTCTGCAGAAGATTACTGGGCACAGAGTAAACGAGTATGAATGTCAGACTGCATTGTCCATGTTTCTCTTTGCTCGTCAACCACTGCCAGGATAAACAGCCAATGGCACTCCATCGCCAGCGCTGTCCTGCTAGGGCTTGTCTCAGCCAATCAGTGAAGTGAACTGTTTGTATTGGCTGGGTGACGTGTCTTGAGGGTAAACTGAAGTTTGCCCTCCAAGACGCGACACCCCCCCCCCCCCCCCCCCCCCCCCT